CCTATATTGCTTTACCTCATTTGTTCCATCATAAATTATGCAAAGTCTATCCTATATTTCTTTTCTAGTTTTGCAAGTAAAAACACGTATATAATCCTTAGATTTCAAAGCATGGAATAAATTATTTAAACATTTGGTATTTAATTATGCTAATTCTTTTTTTTCTAATATCCAATCAGTGAATGATATTTCAATTCTAAGGCCATCAAAAAGTCTAGTAGGTCTAGTGTAATATTTATATATTAATATCCACATGCAATAGTCAAGTGATTGCAAAAAAAGTAGACATGCAAGTTTTCAAAAAATCAAAAGAAATATTAAAGAATAAAGGTGGTCTAGTAATTGAATAACCTTCAACAGTATTTCGGTTTCCAAAATTAGCCATGATCATTTTTTGAAAAGTTGTCTAAATCTTAATTTTTGAAATTAGTTATGATTCCACTTAAAAGTTCATGTAAGTTGTTAGACTTTATAGAACTGTCCTAAGGCTAACCAAGGGGGGTGAATTGATTATTAAAAAAATTATTGGATATTTGAAAACCTTTTGAGATCTTCTTGAATGTTAAATCATGAATCCTGAAACATGTAGTTGGTTTATAAAAATAATTACTACTGATAATTTTTAACCATAAAATTATAAGTGCAGTAAAATAAAAATACTAGAAAAATAAAAGGTAATAAAAGAACACCAAATTTATAGTGGTTCGATCCAACTAGACCTACATCCACTCCCTGGAGACTCCTTCAAGTATTGCACTAAACATAAGTGACTTTCCTTTTGCCCCCATAATAAGGAGGAGAAGCCCTTACAAACTCTCTTCCACCAACCAGGTGCAGCAGAGAACCGTCGCCTTTAATACTCTCCAAGTAATGGCATCGTACCTTCTCATCATTTTTCTCCCTCCTGGTGAAGGCAGAGACCCTACTCATCCTTTTTCACCCTCTTGGTGAAGGTAGAGAATCTTGATTCAGTCTTGAAGATCTTCTCTCAAGAGCCTCCAAAGAAGTTGGGTAGAAACTTGAAGGAGATAAAAGATATCCTCACTTTGGGCAACCTTGTAAATCCCTCACAACTTTCCTTCATTACATCTTTCACTCTTTACTCACAAAATCTCAACCAAACACACTCTCCAAAAGGTTTATCTTAAGAGAAATTTGAAGCAAATGATAATATGATAGTTTTTAGGACTCTTTATATAAAAACCACATGTACAACCATCAAAAAATTGAAAATTTCAAGTGAGCCGACTTACATTCGTATGTATGATCGTAGATCATACAGTTCAATTAGTTCATAAAATCAAGACTTTGTTTGGTACAAACTGGGATGAACTTTATTATGCGCACTATTAGTCGTCTATACAAATTCATATATTACTATATGAATAGTTCAAAAAACAAATGTATTCATATGATATGGTCTTGTATGAATCTAATTTTGTACACTGTTAGTCATCTGTACTATCTAACAACGTACTGTATAAATAGTTCAAAAATGAATGTATTCGTATGGTACGCTCTGGTACAAAAGTAATTTCATGCTATATCAGCCGTTTGTATGACCTATCATCATACAGTATGAAAAGGTTAAAATGAACAAGTTCATTTAGTATGATAAGGTATAAAAAAGAAATTTCATACTCTATCAATCGTCTGTATAACCTGACATCGTACAGTATGAACAATTCAAAATAAACTAGTTCATTTGCTATTTTGTGGTACAAAAGGAATTTTGTACTATGTCAGTCGTTTGTACTAATTAACATCTTACAATACGAACAATTTAAAAAATTTACGCCTTGATTTGATTAACTGCATTCTCGAGGAAAAAGCTAACAAATCATATATTATGATTAAATATTGTATAGTACGGTCAGACTTAAAAAAAATTATAACTCTCCCTCTATGTGTTTCTGCATGGTTACCTAATTATAATCACTCTTACTCAGACTCATGAAATAAAAAATAGAGATATATAGACTCTATTACATGAAATCCTATCCTATCATGTCTTGAAATCTTCAATAATCTGGAGTAGTAAATGATTTTTTAAAATGTTAGTACACACAACAAACAGAAATATCCAATACATGCTAGGAGAAATAATAAATTTATCAGAACAATAATATTTTGCTATCATAAAACATCACAGTCTCTATCTTGATTTCTGAGTTGTAGCACTACTCTCTATGGATAATGAAAATAGCATAATCCATTAATACCTTCCAACCCTATATTTATAACACTGTGAAGGCTATAGGAGAGGATACACTTAAGGAATGATACAATGATTATATGATTTGTCTATCATATACAACTGAAAAAGGCTATGTATGATATATGCAGATAGTCATCTTTAGCATGGATTTGGAACACATCTAGTGAATACATGTGGAGAATGCCTCTTGGGTGAGTGCCTTGAGCAAGTCCTCTAAGGAAAATACCTCATGTTGGTGCTTTTTTCGAGTTCCATTCAGTTGGGGTCTCTAATATGACTCATGTGGACCTAATTATATGGCTGATAGGTGTACATCTCCTATCATTTAGATGATGGTCTCTCCAAGATAGGCTAATCAGTTTGCCTAGGATGACTCTTTATTTAGGACGTATTCTCATAAGGCTAGTACCTCATTGTGTTGAGATCTATTGAAGCAAGTTCCTCCTATAGTCAAACATGTCAATGGTGTATGCTTCCTTCATCGAGCTTTTCTATGGTGAGCTTCACTAAGATGAGTGCCTACCATTATTAAATCTTATTGGGGGTGGGTCCCCCTCTGAGTGGGACATGCATTGGTCGAACTCCTCTTAGGAAAGTTCGATTGGTCCCTCCGAGTTCTTACTAGCCACATTTTAGAATGTATAAACATATATTAACAAATTATAATTATTTGATATTCATAATAATAATAATTCAAATTAAACCCACATTAAATAATAAAATTAATTTTATTGTCTCTCTGAAAATTTTCTAGCTCGGTCGTTTGAGTAATTAGTGATTTTCTATGGTATCATATACCCTATCCTGATTTTTATGCAAAATAATTAGTTTGTCTGTTACATGAGATTTATTATGAGTTGACCGTATAACTTTAAGAATTACATCATGCCACTATATAAATCTACAAGACATGCTGCAAATCTTCATAGCTGAAAAAGCCCACCTCAGCCTAATTGAGTTTCTCAGAAGTCTAAAAGATTCAACTAGCTGTATACACATAAGTGTTGCATGGATGAGAGAGTAATTTGAAATGCTATATTTAATCCAAGGGAATTTTCACAAACACATGTGGAGAAGAAATAAGAAACAATAAATCATTAGATTAGTCAACCAAGAGCAAACAAAAGTCCACTTCTTGCTAATACTAAAAAACATCATATATTTCTGTGATTTCTTAGATGCCATATGAGAGTTTTTGTATTTAATTCTAAAAAGAAAATATACTTAAAAGGCTTATTAGTGAACAACTATTATTGATTGATAAGTTCAACAAGTGATATATTAAACATATTTTGGATCTCTCTTTAATTCATAGTTTATTTATATTAACTTTTTTCAAAAAAATAAATAATAAAGAATTTTTCATCAGTATAAAGTCAAAATTTTCTTCTAAAATAGGATGAATTTGATCTTATATGAATGGCTTTTTCTTGATAATGAAAGTATTCAAAACAATAGAAATTATTAACCAACTTCCAAAAGATGGCAATTTATGCACAAACTGATGGGATAAACAAATATTAATAACATGCCTTGTAATTCACATAGGATTCTTCACTGCATCAGCTGCACCCTAAACCCTAAACACAAACATTTTATTTTGCTGAAGTTGCAAATATGTTAAAATTTTGTTAACTAATGAACTGAGCTCATCAATTTGCGTCATACACTGCATGAAAGGAGCGTAAAAGTGCAGCTTATTTTGGTCTTTTTGTTGAAAATTTTGATTACCAATTAAGAGATTTTGTATTCAAATATGACATATGTGTTGCGTGTGTGAATTTGTCTTAATGACTTAAATGTCTCAAAACAAAATAAAAATAAAAAAAGAGCAGAAAATCAACGAATCCTGGATTAGTAAATGGCAGAGAGCAACTAATAGGAGGAGCGTGAAAAATAAAAAGAGCATGAAGAGTTCCACTAAGGTGATGAAAACCACCATGAGATCAGGGACCTTAGTCGGTTTCTAAGGCCCTGATTGATTTCAAAGAACTTAAGGTGAAGCAAATAAAATTTTTTATATGATTTTACAAGTGTGTTTGATTTTAATATAATGAAGAAATAGTTAAAGTTGGTCAAAACAGTAATAAATGCCTTTTACTGATAATTTTCCGCTCAATCTTAAACTTAATAATAATAACAATAATAATAATATAATCAATTTTTGACGTAGGGGTGCAGGTTGCTTGCATTTATAGTGTGATACATTTTAAGTACATGCATTCCAAGAATTCAAGTATTTGATTGGATGAATTTCAAATGCAATTTAAAACTTTGGTCAATTTGTATCTCACCCTTTAGTTCGACTTTGGTGTATTTGTAAATCATCATATTTATCTAATTTTCAAATATACTATGAATTATCTATCAGTATCGTTGCATGCCGCTAGCCACCGCATCGACCGCCAGCCCCGCCTGCCACCAACATTGCCCGCAGGCCACAGGACGTCACTCACCGTTGTCATCAATCACCTGCCGTCGCCAGCCACCAACCACCCGCTTTTGCTCGCCGGCCACTACATTTTATTTGACTCTACATTTATTTTTAAACAAACCAAACGACCTTTAGTAAAAAAATAAATGTATCACATTATGAAAAATAGAATCAAACTTTCACATTAAAAGAGACCATAATGAGCGAGGAGCTTGACATAAGTGCTGAATCAAAAATTCTCCATAAATAATATCAGAATCATGTTCTCAGAGCTGAGATTTTAACTGATAAATATGATGAAAAAGAGGGAGAAAGAGAAATTAGTTGAAAGAAAACTGAAAGAGAGAATGAGAAACAAGCTGAAGGATATCCGATTCTATGGAGAGAAGCTCTAGAATTTCTTGCTAGTGTGCTATATAACACCCTAAAAAGCCCCCTCTAGAATGGCCTCTCAATCTGTATTTATATGATTTTAAGAGCTACAGTACTGACTGCATACATGACTATATAAAATAAAAAAGAATTATACAAGTGACATATAACTTAATCCAAACCATGAAGTCACATGCCATGTCCCATGATCTAACATTAGTTATATATACAGTGCACCCGAAGGAATGGCTAAGGAAAAGAATCCCAAAATTGTATTATGGCTTCTGTGCAGAGAACATTATAAAAGATCTTTGTACTTTGGCTGAATAGTTTATGAGCCCACAGGACTTGCACAGGTCTTCAATCTCTTTCTCAGTAAAATAGGAATAACTGTTGGTCACTTGCCCAAATAACTGCAAATCGCAGATTAAAGAGTCAGGATATTGCGAATGTAATAAAAACTGAAGAAGTAAACAAGTAATTACCCGTCTAAGAGGCCTCAGTTCTCCAGCAGAGAAAGGGCTGTTAACAGGACTTGATAAAAAGGTAGTTGCCACAAAGACACCACCACTTCTTAAGATACGGCTAATTTCAGCAATCTAGGCAGTATAACGAGGATGAAAACTATTATTATGATTAATGAGAAAAAAAAATTGATTTTCAGCAATATTTCACGATAGAAAAGCACAAAAATATTCAAATTCCCGTATTTTTTGTATAAACAATTAAATTAGACCATCCAAATGATAAAAAAGGATATTTATCCCTGCAAGCTTCATCAGGGTTAAGTGTCTGGAACAACAATTTGTTAGCTGCGCTCTGCTAGGATGATCTGACACGTTCCACTAGCTCTGATGAACAACTTATGGTTGGGATCGAAGCATGACCAGAGAAGAATTGAAACTTGCTTTTGCTTGGTCGCAAATTGGAGATAGTTTGGTGGCTTTAACCCCTTCATAGAATCTTGCCAGTTCTTAGTTAACTATTTGCTAGTGTTTACTCTCTCCCTATGCTCTTGGCCAAACCTGACCCCCATATTTCCCCTCATTTACAACATTAAAGCAACCTAATACCTGAGCCTAGGTGAAGGCTAAACTCTCCACAACCTAAAACCTAAAAGAAGAGCTCCTGGTCTTCCTCCAACAATCCCTACACTACAAATAGCTCGCATTTCATCGACAATAATGAATGCACTCACCAAATACATCTATTGTCATTCTAAAAAATCATATACACTACTCAAGATCTAGATAATCATATCCTATCTACTCCATCCTTAGTACAAAAGAATAACTAAAATAATAAAAAAAGGAATCTGAACATGAAGGATCAATATGCACATATGTATTCATTTGCAATGTATTGCAAAAAATAAAATATAATTGTGCTAGATTCAGAAAGTACCAAAATGTTCTAACAGTAATAAACATAAATTCCTACGAACAAAATTTTATATTTTTAAAAATTAACCAAATCACCATATATTATATATAACAACATTCTTAAGCTTTAATTGAACTAAAGCACTATTTTTAGTGCTTCAAAATAAATTTTTGAATGAAAAAATCCCAATATTTTTAAAATCATCTTACTAAAAATTTCAAATAAATACTTTGTTATGTCGTTTAAAAATAAGAAAGTTAACTAAGCACTTACAGTTATTCCATAAGCTGAAACCTCGAACGTTCAATAGAGCTGTAGGACCGCATGCTACAGAAGACTAGTTACTAAGGATAAAAAAGATCTTCAACAATATGTAGTGTCTAGAGAATAAAAAGTACCATTGGAAGTATTTTTGTTTGAAGGAGAGACTGAGAAATGATGGATTGGATATCAAAGAGCAAAATTTCAGGGGAAGACCAATGTTGAGATCACTTGGGTTGAATTCATTATAGTATTTAGAATGTGATTAATACCTCAATCAGCCCAATGATCGATACAGAAATCTTTCATTATGCTAGAGCAGGGACAAAAGAATGTGATGTAGTATAAAGTCAAGTTTATTACACTTGCTATATATTCTTTCCATTTAATCCCTACTGCTAAAGAAAAGTGCTACATATTTTTGCAAGGATTGAATGGGAGTTGAGACATTTATTAGTTCCTCTATGGATCCAAAAAAAATTTGAGTTAGTGGAGCAGGTAAAACTGATAGAGATTGATTTGACAATACAAGCATCCATGTATGAAGTGGGATCCAAATATGATGTCAATAGGAGGATGACCATAGATGAAGTAAGAAGGGACAGAGATAGTGCTGATGATGAGAAAAACATATACAATGATTCAAGGATATCTAGATTCATAGCATATACCAACAACTATGGCAAATGTGTTCATTATGGAAGAAGACATGCATGTAAGTGCTACATTTTGACAAGGCAATATTTTTGATGTGGAAAACAATGACATAAGGCAGTGGATTATCCATAAAAAGAAAGAACTGATTTAAAAGAAGGACAATTTAAGAAAACTGAAAGATAAAGGACTATAAGATTGAGAGCTTATAATGAAAGAGCAGGAAACAAAGATGATGATAGAGTTATCAGTAATAGGTAGAGGGAGTTTATTGTATTAGGATTAACAGAATTGATAACATCGACAACATCTACTCCAATGATGCCACAAGTGTACAACTTGCAGTATTTGGAGGATCGAAAATAACACGAGTGTTTGACTTGTAAGAAAATCATTTAAATGATTATCTAATATGACATTTTATTGTATAAGTGAATGATATGTGATTAAGTGAATAATATGATAGGAATTACCTTTGAGGAGCTTTATATTTGATTTTAACTTGATTTAGATTTTTATGCAGATTTATTTTAGAAAATGTTTATTTGACATCAATTTTGTGCCCAAATCCCTAAGAGTATATTAGGGATGATATTTTTTTAATTTGGGAAAATTGTAACAACTCAAAAATATAAACATAAAGATTTAAAATTTTAAAAAGGGTAAGATTTGCAATTTTATGTTTTGAACTCATTTTCATGTCTTTGAAAGTATTTTAAAGCTTGAAAATAATTGCATGTGCTCTAAGAGTCTCAAGGGTCTGGAGTAAATTTTGAGAAAATCTAAAAAATATTACTATTTGAGCATTCCAATGTTGGGTGTCTGAGTGCCTCGGTGTTACTATAGTACTTGGTGAAAAGTAGTGACATTACAGTTCTTTGGGCTCTGGGATTTGAAAAAATAAACCAGCATCATAGTGTTAGGTGGTAGTACCGCAACACTATGTCATTATCTGCTTTGTTGTATATTTTAAAATCCACTATTTTGACTCATTCAAACACTGCATCAGCCGAAGTAAAAAGAGAGAGAGATTTAGTGGCATTTTAGAAAGAGAAACTATATTTTGCGCAACTTCAAGTCATTTTTAGCTTTCATGCTAGTTAAAAAAATTGCCCGAATCGAGGTAGGTTATATTATGCTTATCTCAGTTTTCTCGATTAAATTTCTATTTTTATTACATAAAAATATGGATAACTTTGCACTAGAAAAGCTTTCTTCACGTAATTTTTTATTTGTTATAAAGATCAAGATTCAAAATGGTCTGATAATTTTTTATAAATTTTATGCTGAATATTTTAGAATTCATGTGATTTTAATTGAACAAAAAATAATATTGTAGTACGATTAAAGTCTTTAAATAATATTTTACACAATCCTTGATAATTAGGTTATGTTTTAAAATTATGCATTTTTACTCTGTATATATTGTATTCTAATTATATTATTAATACAAGCATTGATAATGAAAATGAATATATGATTGGATAATAATTGTGCGTTATTACTTTTATTGTAATGTGTGTAAAAGATAAGTAGAGATTGGTTGACCCATTGGTTGAAGATTGATTAACATACACATGATGGTGGGCTTATAGACTTTCTTTTTAATATTAGGATTAAGTGTTATCCTCTACTGATTCGCCTGATACAATGATAAAATAATTGAGAATTATAAGGAATTCTTACTATGTCGATGGGTAAATGGTGACAACTTTATTTATTAAGCCAACAAAATAATGATTATTGATTATTGACTTTTGACTATTGAAAACACTATGATAACCATGACTTCTTTATTGTTTAGTGTGAATGTGGAAATACATGTTACAGATTCATTATTATTGTATGGCTTTATTGATACAATATTGATTTAATATTTCTTTACGAATTACTGTTATATCCCTGATTCACTGTTACTCTTATTGGATTTATTGGTATCGAAACGGATATCGATATTGCTACTGAACTTTTATTGATACTACTACTAATTAACTATTATGGTTATTGATTCACTGTATTGATTATTGATATTAAGCATGTGATTTAAGATAATGATATGATACTGAGATATATTAACTGGATAGTATATGTATATCATTATAAGATGATATTGCATTGATCTAAGTTTGATAGATCTTAAACCAATGCTTTGTTTTTACTAATTTGATTATTTTATTGATTGGTAGTACTAACGCAATGATTGCTTTATTTATTTCATTTGATGCCAATACTTGTTTATGGATTTCTCCACAATATTAATTTAATGGTTTCCGTATCTTGCTACTTTACTACTAGTGCATATGAGTTTTATTGTTTCTATATTGATTCAGGTTAATAAACTATTACTATTATGAATTAACTATTGACATGTATATTGCTTCTCTATCGTGCTTTGAATTTAGTGTTATGATTTTAGTGACCTACTAAAGTTATTTAACTCATTATATGTGATTTAAATGATTTCAAGTCAAGGCAGAGGGTCAAGTGTGTGAGATTGATCAGATCAAGATTCTCCAAGTTTACAATTAGTTTTTTTGTTTGTCTTTTTTCTTTTCTTTTATACTCAAGACTAGTGATAATATATTATAACTATATGATTCCTCAGTATTATATATAATTTTTTGGTCAATAAATATTAATGCATATGGATTTGTTAATTTATAAAATTTAAGTATGTTGATATATGGTTTTATTATTGATAAATAAAATTAGATAGCTCAGTTTGTTATTTAATAAAAGATAAGAAAATGAATTATTTTAAATTAGATTTTAAGGCATGACAATTTGACATCTACTCCAGTTTTAGCTTTTTCATCTACTACACAACGATTTCATGTATTTAGTGGCGCTTCACTGAGAGATTTGGGATGTGTATTGATGCGGTATAGTTGAGTTATAGCTTATGCTAAATAGATGAAGTCATATGAGAGGAACTATCTGGTATATGATTTGGAACTTACTGCTATGATTTTTTCTTTGAAGATCTGGAGAAACTGTTTGTATAGTGTTAGGTGCGAGATTTTCATCGATTATCAATGTTTGAAATATATATTCTCTCAGAAGGATTGAATTTGAGGCAAAAGAGAAGACTTAAGTTAATCAAAGACTATAATATGACTAGTTAGTATCATCCTAATAAGGCTAATGTGGTGACAGATGTTCTGAGTAGAAAATCTCCTAGAGTTTTATGTCTTCAACTTACTTTTGATAATTTTTTATATAGGATATGAAAAGATTATAATTGAAGGTGATTTATTTACTAATAGAAATTTTGGTATGTTGGCTCAGATGATCATTTAGC